TTTGCCACTGGTTCGGAGAACTGATGCCGATGGTCTCTGCTAGTTCGGTCGAACTGGAAGGATTTCACCCCTGAACTAGGAGATTGTGAATTCTAGTTGTGCCTTAGGCACAAAGCTACCTTTGGGCCAGTCACTCTCTACCAGTCATAGGAAGGAGGCAATAGGAAATCACTTCTGAAAATATCAGGAAAATTAAAGAAACTAATCCAAACAGCTTACAGGAGTTAAGACTGGTTCAAAGACCAAAGCAGTTTACTAATTCTTTTTAGTAATTCTTAATTAAAAAGATAGAATCTTCTACCAAAGCTGTAAGAAAACTTTATTGTTATCTATGTGTCCTTGAAAAACTAATTGAAAATGAAAATTATTTACATGAAATCCCAGTGTTTTAGTATTTTGAAATAGGTACCCTTTCTGTTCTTTTTTGATGGAGGAGAGCACATGTAATACTTAAAACAATGAACAGAAAAATCATTTTACTATGGAAAACCATAAAATAATCTCACTGAAGCAAAAGCAGCAATGCTTTTTTCAACATTTTTTTCTTACACATTCTTGATAAATATCTACTGCTCTTTGTTTAAAAAATTATGCCCCTCTCTAAATTCCATACATAAGAAACACATAGTAATATTAATGACAAGAACAGATTCTGCTTTTTTATCTCATCTTTTTTCATCTCCTGTCTAATATGACATAGTTCATCGGTCTAGAACAGTGTTTCTCAAACTTAGCTTAGCTGGGTGGGGTATTGTAGGAGCTGAAATTTACACATCTTAAATGAAGTTGCCAAGATTGAGAAACACTGGTTTAGAAGAAAGTGGGATTAAGTCTGCCAAAGCAAATGTAGCAAGTTTTATGACATCTTAAAAACTACTGATTGTATCATGGTGTATATTTGAAATTTCCTATAGGCTAAAAGATGCAAAAACAATATTGCTGATCCTAATAGTGTTGATTTTTATCGTGCTCTATGACCATGCAGATGGAAATCAATTTTATCTGTCACAAAGAACTCCTGATATATAACTGGTGAATACATGATTTCTCAAAGCTATAAAACAAGAGAAGAGGGAATCAAGCTATTCTCCAAAGCACCTGAAGGCAGAACAAGAAGCAATGGATGGAAACTAATCAAGGAGAGAACCGACCTAGAAATAAGGAGAAATTTCCTGACAGTTAGAACAAGTACCTTAATCAGTGGAATGACTTGCTTCCAGAAATTGTGAATGCTCCATCACTGGTAGTTTTTAAGAAGCAATCAGACAGCCTTTTGTCTGAAATGGTATAGGGTTTCCTGCTTGAACAGGGGATTGGACTAGAAGACCTCTAAGGTCCCTTGCAGCTCTATAACTCCATTATTCTATTAAGAGAAAAATGTTTCTGAATCTTTCTACTCCAGTATCCATGTCCCATTTTTTACCTGATTCTAGATAATGAGATTTATTTATAAATCTATTGTCGAATGTCATACGATTGCAGACCATCTGCCAATCTAGTTTACATCTTTCTTTCTTTTTTGCCCATCAAAAACATTGGCAGGGGACTTAATGTGTTTATAACAGTGCTGTCCATTAAACTTGGAAAATCTAATACATATGGGATAATTGTAAAATAAAAGTTACAGCCAACTGCTATAAAGAATAAAGTCTACTATTAATCTGCTACAACTATTCATCACCAAAATCCTTGAAAGGTACAAAGCTTCTAACAGACAACCCTGTATTAAAGTACATGTAAACAGTTATGCTCCCTATTCATCTTCATTCAGAAAAGTCTCAACAGATATATACATAGGTACTCCTTGTTTAATTTAATAATGACCATAACTGGGACCAGCTACTTGGTTGTTAAGCAAATACGTTACTAAGTGAAACATCACAATTTCATGATCTTATTTCCGTTTTCCTTTGCTTTACAGACATGTGAAAGTTGTAAATGCGAAGTTTGGCTGCCAAGTTATTTTTCCATCATCATTGTAACTGCTAAACAAAGCAATAACTAAACGGCTACCTGTAATGCTGGCATCCAAAGGAAATTAGTAGATTGGACATTTCACCTTTTTTACAGAGCCAGTTAAATAAAATTACTGCAAACATTAATTTCTCATTTGAAATGTTACAGATGGGAGTTCTTCTAACAGATGGCCTTTCGCTCCCTCGCTTTCTCATCATTTTCAAAGAACATTGTGACAAGAGACAGGTGCCAGCCACTCATTCCTGTCTTCCCTGTTGCTTTAGCTGCAGGCATCTTCTATTTGAGAGTCTCCCAGCATGCCAGGTGTGGAACACATCTTGCTATGTCAGTTCCAAACAGCCTAATAGAGAGGGGGATTTTGTATTGTGTTCTCAGAGGCTGATCCAGAAGTCCCCCCCCCCCCCCGGAAAAAAAAACCCTCCAGGGTGATAATTGCCATCTGCAAGGGAAGTAGTGCTAATGGCATGGGAATCCAGGCTGTCTGCATATTCCTTGTGAATTGGGGAAGCTGAAAGGAAATTGGCTTAATTTTACAGGCTTCCTCCTTCCATCCCAGAAGGCTTGCCATCATTCTGAAGTGTTGCCATAGATACAGCTAAGAGAGAACTCTGTGTGAAATCAAAAGGGGAACTATAGAAAGATTAAGACACGTGAACCTTTGAGTTGCCTTGCTAGTTTGAAAGAGCAGTCACTACTCCCGGGATGTATATTTATTCCATTTTCACTTCTACCAAATAAGACATAAAGAACAGTTGTTGACAACTGGTCCTGGGTGTCCCAGAACCAAGAGACTTGAGAATAAACAAAAGCATGAAGTTATGATTCTTTCTAATATAGAAAACCATGCACAGGTTGGCTTTGGAACTCCCCCACCTCACTCCGCCTTCAGAAGATAATGTTGAAAAATCCTGATACTAAAATTATTAAAAATCCTTTGGATGCATAGAATTAAAAATTACTATAAAACAGCTGTTCATTCCATTCCATTTTTTCTTTGGGGTACATAGAAGAATATCTGGGAATCGTCTTTTCTTGCATTTAATTATTTCAATAGTAGATTCAAAAACACTCATTGGCCCAAAGGTCACCCAGTTAAATAGAACATGGTTGAATAAGGAATGTATGCGTTCATAATTTTAAAATCACTAATCTGTTAATATTAGAAATTTAGAATTACATTTTTACTAAGATAATACTTAGTAACATGCAAACATTGATGGATTGGATTGGATTGAAATCAGTGGTGGATTGCGTTTACTGTCACAACCAGTACGCTGATCACACGCTCATGTGTTCTGTTCACGCACGCACCTGACTTGTGCTTGACTCACATGTGCAATCCACCGCCCCTGCAACAACCAGCTGCTTGTTGGGGCTCGCACAGGCACCACACATTATGCGCGCATGCACACGTTGCTGTTTGCCATAAAAACAGCTATAGAGCGCGGGTAGGCGGGTGAACCAAACAAGCCACCGTACCAGTAGGCTCTCAGCTGCTCCCGGCCATTACCAGTATGGCCGTACTGGGCCATACCCACAGTAACCCACCTCTGATTGGATTGGATTAAGATGGATGAGAGAGGGGGGGAGGGAGGGAGAGAGAGAGAGATGCAACAGAAGCATTGTTTTCTTAAATCTTTATCAAAACTAACAGATTATTTTAAACTATGTATTTTAAAATATTAATATTAAATAATATTTTTAAGATAATTTTTTACCAAATCATTTAAGATGTTAGAAACCTTGATAAGTTTCAGCTTGCTTACTTTGAATCATGATTTAGTATTAGGAATTTGGAAGTTATTTAACTACAATTCCCAGAAGTCCCAGCATTAGCTATACTGGTTAGAGCTCTTGGGAGTTGAATTCAGCAACATCTGAAAATCCCAGATTGTCTGTTTCTGCATTTAATGGATTGTGGATTGTTTTACTAGCAGACTGAATGTTCCATTTCAAAGATTTTTTTTTCTTACCAGGATCAGATCAGAGCATAATTCAATTCCCTAAAACTCAAATGGTGCATAATGCTGCAGATCGGGTGCTTCTGGGATTCTTACTTTGTACATCTGTAATCACATTCATCCTTCATTCACATTTTTTAAGAGTCTGTTTTTTTTCAGACCCTGAAATTTTCTTGCACAAGGAGGCCTCTGAATAGTTAAGAAAGTCTTCAGGAAGAAGCACCATTGAATTCTATGAAAGAGCAACAGCACCACATCCTGGACAACTGCAGCTTTTTTTCTTAAAAAGTGTCTTTGTGTTTCCTGAGGCATCTCTACACTTACCTCAGAAGAAGGGACAATGAAAAAGATATATAGTAGTAATTTATATGCCACTCAAGAATCCGAATTCTTTGCAGGGCTCCAGATTGTTCTTCACAAATCGTTAAGCATCATATTTCCATGCTAGCAAATTAAATATAACTTTAAAGCACTTTAATTTATTTTAAAGTGGTGATATTAGTGCAAAGAATTAAACTGACAACTATCCACTAAGAGAACTATTTTTATTATCTATTCCATGAAAAACTCACAAGACTAAAAAGTGCAACTTTCAAATATATCTATTTATTTCCAAACAGAGACACAGTACAGGTAGTCCTCAACTTACAACCACAATTGAGCCTCAAGCCTTCTGTTGTAAAGAGAGAAGTTTGTGAAGTGAGTTTTGCCCCGTTTTACAACCTTTCTTGCTTCACTTAAGTGAATCACTGCAGTTGATAAGTTAGAACCCGGTTATTAAGAGAGCCTATCTTGGCTTTGCTTGTGAGAATCACATGACCTTGGGACACAGCAACGGTCATAAAAAGGAACCAGTTGTCAAGCGTCTGAATTTTGATCACATGATCACAGGGATGCTGCAAAGGTTGCAATTGTGAAAAATGGTCATAAGTCACTTTTTTCAGTGCGGTCACTAAATGAACTGTTGTAAGTCAGAACAGAACACACACACCCAGGGGTGTTAGGGGTATCTTACAGGACTACCTGTAATTCTAAAATGCTATATGTCTATGTTTCTTACAGCTCCTGCTATAATTGTGCCACCGAAAAGGATTCACAATGTAACTGGAGCCCAGGTCTATCTATCCTGTGAGGTGAAAGCAGTTCCAACACCAATCATCGCTTGGAAGAAAGTAGGTTAAGGGTCCTTCTAAATGCCAGTTGGCTGAATTGGGCAGCTACATCATACTTCTGCACTCAAAAGCAATATATTACTTATGGGAGTAGGTTGTGATTTATATTCAGGTGATCCTGGATCTTCTAGAAACCCCCCCCCCCAAAGATCAATCTATGGGATATAGAGGTATTCATAGAATAGATCTTAAAGGTTCCATTAAAATCCTGCAGGAGTGCAGAGTAGCTCCTTAATTGGATGTATTATAATTAACAGTTTTTCTTTACCCTTAATTGGCTGGAGATGACAAAAGCATTGAGATCCTGAAGATAAAATATATTTTAAATTCAGTGAGCTCTGTTTATTCTTGAATATACAGTGTTAGAAGAGACTCTCATAACAAAGGTAGATTCTCACCCTTTTTGTTGGATCAGCAGTCAGTACCATTTTGTGGGTGGCTGAAGGATTGCAGAGGATGAGATAATAATACAAGATGTGTATGGCAAGGCTTCTTTATTATTTTTAAATAAATCTTTGCATTGTGGCTATTTTAGGACTTGCACAACAAATGCCTTGTGTTCTCCATGATGCTCTTGATTTTTGGCAGCCAATACCAGAAGAAATTCTGAGGATGCCAAAAACGGTCCAGGGGCCTCCAACTGTTCATCATACATTAGATGGTTAAGCCTATGAATATGCCAGGAAAGGGAGTCTTGAGTAATGGTAGGCTAGGAAAAGGAGTATGACAGCTATAGCAAATAAAGTGTTTTAGGGTATTGAAATGCAAGGTTATGATGAGGCATAATATTTTAAAAAGCAAGAAAATAACTAAGCTCAGAGAGCACCAAGGACCTTTCATTTCAACTCTGAACTTCAAAATATTCTCCATTAAACAAAGCCTCAAGATTTTTTTAAATAAAAATTGTGATATACAAATGTTTAAATAAAACCATGTACATAATTTTAAGCCAATGAATCTCTTTTGAATGTGCTGCCTTGGTTAAATCCCACAGGTCACTGAGTCCCCAAAGGGAGTTAGACTCTTAGAAGAATTGCCTGGAGACAGAGTTAACATGGCTGTTCAGGTTCGAGGTGGCCCTTCTAAGCATGAGAGCACGGGTTGGGTTTTGGTAAGTATATCAGAAGGGGCAATTTGTAAGGGGACAACTACTGTGACATGGAACAATTTTTATGTGTAGGATCTCATTTCTTTGGTGAATGGTCCATCAGGATTGTATGTCATCCGTGAGTGCGATTTGTGGTATAAAAGCCAAATTTATTTATTTGTCAAATGTATTAATCACCTATCTCACCATGGGGCTACTCTAGGCAGCTTACAACAACAACAAAAATGAAGAAATGAAAAGTGTAAACATAACAAAGAAAGTAAAGGATGAACCATGAAAAAAGCAAGAATAGAGTGAATATGAGAATAAAAGATGGGTGGGGAAACATGGAGTGAGTGAGAAAGGTGGGGTTTGCTATCATTCTAGTAGCCTCTCCAATATGGTTTCTTCTCTTTATTTCATTTTCTTCATTTCCTTTCTTTTCTTTCATGGAAGCATCATCCCATTTATTCCTATCATCATGATCCTACCCTTTTCAACAGACGTTCAGGAGATAGGTTGTTCTTGCCAGAGACTGATTTGATTGCAACTAGACAGGCTTTGAAATTTAGCCAAAGGATGTCTATAATCCTGGAGGAAAGACACAGAAGTATAGAGGAAGGGAGGGAGGGAGAGATTGCCCTCTGAGAGCCACAGTGGGTGTAACTTGCAAATGAGCAGTGCTAAATTTTTCAGCCTTTGTAGGATTGGGATTTTATAGTGAAGGATGCCTTCTTAGAAGTGTAAAACAATAAAACTGGGAATAGGCTTCAGGAATATTAAGACATAAAATGGATGCTTAGACCTGGGCATAACCTAAAAGACCTATTTTGCCTTTTGAAGTTTCTTCTTAACTCTCATCAAATTATTAAAAAATAAGCTGAAAGTATTAGCTCCACCAACTGGGGGACTTTGTTGGATCTAGAAATATCTTGGGCTGCTAAAAGGATACTAGAGGTAAGTTTGGAAACTATAGCGCCTGCATGTATGGATGTCATAGGATCTGCACCATTATTCATTCTATTTGTTAGGTAAAGGTAAAGGTTCCCCTCGCACATATGTCCTAGTCGTTCCTGACTCTAGGAGGCGGTGCTCATCTCCGTTTCAAAGCCTTTCAAAGCGTTTCAGCTCTGAAGAAGCAGCTTCTTGGAGGAGAAGCGAAACATCTTCAAAGAAAAACCAGAAAGTACAGTTGCCACTTGAAAAAAGCACCTTGGGACAGTAGACAAGGTTGTTTTTTCCCAATTGATTGCCAGGAAATTATCTAGTCTCTTCTGGACTAATCAAAACAGTATTTATACTGGCATACAAGGAGAAGGCTTACCATTTCATAAGAATTATTGTTCTTAAATAGCAAAGGAACCGCTGTACCCAAATGTTCACTAAATGGTGCTATCAGGGTTTTTCAGTCCCTGGTTCTATTGAAAACAATATAAAAAGGGATTACAGGTATGCAAAGACAATCACACTGCAATTATAGGAGGGGAAAAACACCCCCAAAGAGTATATGTTTTGTGTGCTTGTTTTCCCCCCTAGATTAATCCACTGACAAAAGAAGACGAGGGTGTTTACCAGTGTCATGCCACAAATATGGTGGGAGAAACACAGGCAGAGGGGACTATTAAAGTCCTACACCAAAGTAAAAATAAGAAGGATCACTTCCCAGCATCAGAAGATGTGAAGTAGCAAGGTAATCTTGATCCCTTTCGTGTTGGTAGAAATGCCTTTTTAAATAAATATAAATTCCTGCTTTTTTTTCAGACAAGGATGGCATAATAAAATGAATAAAAAAGGGGGAAAGTCTGTTTCAACCTAAAGGCAAATAGATCTTAATTTCCATGGAACATTTACAAGCTACACAGTTGTTCCCCAAAACTCACCTTACCAGAGATATTCTCTGAAAGGCTTTTATCCTACACTAGCTGATAACCCAGCATTGCTGGGTTTATATTTATATTTATAAATATATTTGTATTTAATTATAGGGGGAAAATATCTGGAACAAATGTAATTTTTAATGTTGGATTTCCTCCCTTACCATAGGGAGTCTCCTTGTGGAGTACTGTGAAGCCATTACCATGGCAACTGCACTGCACTGTATAGAAGCCATTTTTACGGCAGTACAGTAGAAGTCATTGTAAGGCATAACAGGCTGTATCCTAACAGAACACACACCCCCAGGGGTGTTAGGGGTATCTTACCACCACCACCACCCCTAGTATTTTTCTCCAGAGTAAGTCATCTGTGTACCAAGTTGGGTTGAAATTGCTTGAGGCGTAACAGACACCATTCCAACACACAGACACATGCACACAGCCGTTTAGATGGTTGGTTGGTTGGTTGGTTGGTAGGTAGGTAGGTAGGTAGGTAGGTAGGTAGGTAGGTAGGTAGGTAGGTAGGTAGGTAGGTAGGTAGATAAAT